TAGGTAACTTGCCGTTTTTCTCTTGCCAATTTTAGTATCTCGTCTTTTTCTGTGGTTTTGGTCAATCTGGCTATAATGTGTCTTGGGGAAGATCTTCTTAGGTTGATTCTATTGGGGGTCCTTGTGTTTCTTGGGACTAGATCTTTGAGTGCCTCTCTAGGTTTGGAAAGTTTTCTTGCAGGATTTCATGGAATAGATTATCAATACCCTTATGAATCTCTTTGCCTTCTGGGGTACCAATTATCCAGATGTTTGGACATTTAATGGTATCTAATATTTCTCATGTATTATTCTCATTTTGGGGGGGCAATTTTCTTAGTCTTTGTGGTAGATTTTTCTAGGCTAGCAATTTTCTCTTCTATGTCTGAGATTCAATTTTCTGTATGATCTAGTCTGCTTTTAATACTTTCAAGGGAGATTTTGACTTCTTGTATTATAGCCTTCATCTCTACAGGTCTATTTGATTCTTTTTTAAAGTGTGTAGTTTCTCTTTTTGATCTTGCAAGAATTTCCTCACCTCCTGGAACTCGTCATCTCCTTTCTTCTTTCTCTTTTGCAGTTCATTGTCTCTCTTCTCTTCCATCTCTGTTAGCTTTGCCACTATGAATATTCAAATTCTTTATCAGACATTTTCATGATTTCCATTGAACTGTCTGTGGATGAAGAAGAGCTATTCTATATCTAAATATCCACTAGTCCAACTGCTGCTGGCATTGCTGAGCTTTTCTCCCTGACTAATGAAAGAGAAATTATTTGGTCAAATGCTGAGATTAAGATAGTTCCTAAACTCTAATGAGTGAGGAGTATCTCATGCCTCTGAAGTACCAAGATATCATTGGCTCACTTTGCCCATTTTCAATTTGCTAAAAACCTTAAAAGTCCAGTTTAGCTTCTAATACCCAGAGAGGAAGTAGATGTGCATGATAGAAGACCTGTCACTTTTGACTCAAGAAAAGTAGTGACACTAGAAAGAGATTAGGGCAATGGTATCTGGATGCTTCTGGAAACTTTGGAAGCACTCAAGACACCAAGGTACCCAAGTGTATAAGCATTATATAGATTATATATCTATCCAGGACATGAAATATGGAGACCTGAGATCTAATGCCATTGGACCAGTAACATGCCATGACTCGATTTTAGCAAAGTAAATTCAAAGTTAACAAAATTAGTTTTCACTGTGTTGAAAGGTGTGCTATCATCCCTCACTCGTTTATAGTTGTTGAGGCTTAACAGAGACAAGAAGTTTAAAAACTTACAATGATTATCATTAAAATGAGAACTGCTGATAAAGTAAAAGGAAAGAACATGAATCATAGGGTCTTTGTTTTGTTTTGTTTTCTGTCCAGGTTCACTTGAACTTGCAAAAAGATGACAGACCTCTTGAGAAGTGTTGTTACTGTCATTGATATTTTCTACAAATACACAAAGCAAGATGGCGAGTGTGGTACACTGAGTAAGGAAGAACTAAAGGAACTTCTGGAGAAAGAGTTCCGTCCAATTCTGAAGGTAAGAACTGTATGCCAACACTGAAGCCTGCTAGGGTCTTGTCCATGCTGTTATATGACTAAGGTTAGCTAAAAAGTGCCCAGTTTCAGTGGTCTTTGAGCAAAACCCATAAGCACTACTTTCCAGGATATCAGCAAGTTGCTAAGTCAGCATGTATTTTAAAGATGAGGGACCAGCAGTTAGCATAATGGCTATGTCGCTGGACTCCCATGTAGTTGACCATGCTTTGAGTCTTGGACCCAGAGGCTTAAACTCACACTGGGCGCGTATGCATGCATGCGCACACACCATATAGCAAAAACCTCTACAAAAAAGATTATATTTCTTTCTCACTTTCCTTCTCTCTCTGGTGAGCACATCAACCCATTCCTGCCTTATAGACCTTCAGACTTTCTCATGCACCCAGGCCTATCCTTCTAAAAAAAAATAGAAAATAAATTTTTTCTATGACATAAATTAATAAATTACCCTACCAGATGGAATGATAAATATAGAGAGGAAAATCTACAAAGGGAGTTAAAGGAGCCAGAATGACTGAAAATTGAAAATAAAATATAAGCAATTTTTTTCTATCTACTTAGGAAGAATTCAGATGTAAACATTAACCTAAAAATAATGGGTCGTGGGGCCAGCAGATGGTGCAGTAGTTAAAGCACAGGACTTCCATATGGTCAGTGGTGGTTTATGTCTAGGGCCCAGTGGCTTAAAACTCATGCTAGGCACAGGAGGAGAATGGAGAAGGGTCTGTGGCATGGCCACCCCTCCTGGTGGGGGAGGGGGATGTTTCTCACTTTCTATCTCCTTGTTTCCCCCTGTCTCTCCAGTGAGCACACGTGCCCTATAGCAAAGAATCTTTAAAATAATAATAATAATAAATTCTAACATAGAATATACTAACATGTAGTGCTTAAAATTTATGTAAAATAAATATACACCAGTCTATGAATTTGGTTTGGTCCACCCCTTCCCATATCCCATACCTAAGCACTAAATCCTCTAGTTTAGATCCTTGAAATATCTTCGTCCAAAGATCTCAATGGTCTTTTATCTTCTATTACCATTTCACATTTACTGAGTTTTAATTACCCTAAAGTAACATTGAACTTAAAGTACAAAATGTCAAACATCCACAAATGTCCTTACTTGAATGTTTTACCTGAGTAGTGGGCTAGGCTGACCAGGTCTCCCTTGGTGTGTCACTCATGTACAGAACCCAGATGATCCAGATACAGTGGATGTCATCATGCACATGCTGGATCGAGATCATGACCGAAGATTGGACTTTACCGAGTTTCTTCTGATGGTATTCAAGCTGGCTATGGCCTGCAACAAGGTTCTCAGCAAACAATACTGCAAAGCTTCAGGGTCAAAGAAGCATAAGCACGGTCACCGACTCCAAGAAGAAAGTGAAACAGAAGAAGAAGAGCATATACCCGGACAGAAATCAGGTTACAGGCGTTCAAGTTGGAATGAGGGAGAAGAGCATGGATTTAATTCTAGGGGCTCAAGGGGAACTGTGAAACATAGACATGGGTCTAGCTCCAGGAGGTTTGGAAGGCAAAGTGATTTATCTAGCTCAGGGAATCAAGTGGGATCCGAGAAAAGACATAATCAATCTGATTACTCATGGAGTACTGGCAAAGAGAGACATGGTTCCAGCACTGGAGAACCAGAGGAAAGAAGAAACAAATCATATGTTAGCCCCTCTAGAAAATCTTGGGAAAGATATGAATCTGAGTCTAGATCTAAGAGTCAGGGAAAAGAAGATCATGGTGGTCTGTCACATGGATTGGAGACTACTGGGCATAATTCAAATTCTACCCAGTCAAGAAGTGGGGATGATCAGAAGCATAGATCTAGCTCTGTGGGTTCAAGAAATAGTAAGAGGCAAAGTCATTCATGTGGTTACACCAGTTCAGGTGGATGTGGAAGGCCACAAAATGCTTCTAGTTCTTATCATGCAAATAGATCTGGAGAGCAAAAAAATCAGTCCACCTGTACACAGTCAGGTTATCAATCAGGAAGTAGTGGAAGACAAGGCTATGGATGTGTCTCAGGAAGTCAGTCCTCTGGATATTGTCATCATGAGCCTAATTACTGTGGTCAGTCTTCTAGTCAGAGAGAATATGAATCTAGAGAATGTGGTCAATCACAGACCTGTGGAAGACAACAAGCAACAAGATCAAGTCAATCTTCTTGTTGTAGGCAATATGGATCTGGGGCAAGTCAGTCTTCTAGTTATGATCAACATGGATATGGTTCCTGTGGACACTCTTCAAATTCTCAGACAAAAGGGTCTGGATCAAGTGAATTTTCTAAATGTGGCCAACATGGGTCTAGGTCAAGTCAGTGTTGTAGCTATGAACAACATAAAAGAGGTTCAAGTCAGCCTTGTGGTTTTCAGCAACATGGGACCAGTTCAAGTCAGTCTTGCTGTGGCCAACATAGATATGGATCAAGTCAGCACAATGGTAATGGCCAGTATGGGTCTAGCTCAGGTCAATGTTCTGGCTTTGAACATCATAGGTCAGGTTCAGGTCAATCCTCTAGATGTGGACAACATGGATCAGGCTCAGGCCAGTCCTCTGGTTTTGGACAACATAGTTCAGGTTCAGGTCAATCCTCTAGCTATGAACAACATGGATCAGGCTCAAGTAATTCTACTGGCTATGGTGAACATGGGTCATGCTCAGGTCAGTCCTCTGGCTATGGCCAACATGGATCAGGCTTAGGTCAGTCCTCTGGCTTTGGACAACACGGTTCTGGCTCAAGTCATTCCTCTGGCTATGGTCAACATGGATCCGGTTCAGGAGAACCATCTGGCTACGGCCAACATGAGACTGGCACAGGCCATTTCTCTGGATCTGGACAACATGAGTCAGGCTCAGGTCAGTCCTCTGGCTTTGGACAGCATGGGGCTAGTTCAAGTCAGTCTTCTGGTTATGGTCAACATGGGTCAGGATCGGGTCAGTCTTCTGGATTTGGACAACATGGGTCTAGCTCAGGTCAGTCCTCTGGCTTTGGACAACATGGTTCTGGATCAAGTCATTCCTCTGGCTATGGTCAACATGAGTCAGGATCGGGTCAGTCTTCTGGGTTTGGACAACATGGGTCTAGCTCAGGTCAGTCCTCTGGCTTTGGACAACATGGTTCTGGATCAAGTCATTCCTCTGGCTATGGTCAACATGAGTCAGGATCGGGTCAGTCTTCTGGATTTGGACAACATGGATCTAGTTCAGGTCGGTCCTCTGGCTTTGGACAACACGGTTCTGGCTCAAGTCATTCCTCTGGCTATGGTCAACATGAGTCAGGCTCAGGCCAGCCCTCTGGCTGTGGACAACATAGTTCAGGTTCAAGTCATTACTCTGGCTATGGCCAACATGGATCTAGGTCAGGATCCGGTTCAGGAGAACCATCTGGCTACGGCCAACATGAGACTGGCACAGGCCATTTCTCTGGATCTGGACAACATGAGTCAGGCTCAGGTCAGTCCTCTGGCTTTGGACAACACGGTTCTGGCTCAAGTCATTCCTCTGGCTATGGCCAACATGGATCTAGGTCAGGAAGACCATCTGGCTATGGTCAACATGAGACTGGCACAGGCCATTTCTCTGGATCTGGACAACATGAGTCAGGCTCAGGTCAGTCCTCTGGCTTTGGACAACACGGTTCTGGCTCAAGTCATTCCTCTGGCTATGGCCAACATGGATCTAGGTCAGGAAGACCATCTGGCTATGGTCAACATGAGACTGGCACAGGCCATTTCTCTGGATCTGGACAACATGAGTCAGGCTCAGGTCAGTCCTCTGGCTTTGGACAACACGGTTCTGGCTCAAGTCATTCCTCTGGCTATGGCCAACATGGATCTAGGTCAGGAAGACCATCTGGCTATGGTCAACATGAGACTGGCACAGGCCATTTCTCTGGATCTGGACAACATGAGTCAGGCTCAGGTCAGTCCTCTGGCTTTGGACAACACGGTTCTGGCTCAAGTCATTCCTCTGGCTATGGCCAACATGGATCTAGGTCAGGAAGACCATCTGGCTATGGTCAACATGAGACTGGCACAGGCCATTTCTCTGGATCTGGACAACATGAGTCAGGCTCAGGTCAGTCCTCTGGCTTTGGACAACACGGTTCTGGCTCAAGTCATTCCTCTGGCTATGGCCAACATGGATCTAGGTCAGGAAGACCATCTGGCTATGGTCAACATGAGACTGGCACAGGCCATTTCTCTGGATCTGGACAACATGAGTCAGGCTCAGGTCAGTCCTCTGGCTTTGGACAACACGGTTCTGGCTCAAGTCATTCCTCTGGCTATGGCCAACATGGATCTAGGTCAGGAAGACCATCTGGCTATGGTCAACATGAGACTGGCACAGGCCATTTCTCTGGATCTGGACAACATGAGTCAGGCTCAGGTCAGTCCTCTGGCTTTGGACAACACGGTTCTGGCTCAAGTCATTCCTCTGGCTATGGCCAACATGGATCTAGGTCAGGAAGACCATCTGGCTATGGTCAACATGAGACTGGCACAGGCCATTTCTCTGGATCTGGACAACATGAGTCAGGCTCAGGTCAGTCCTCTGGCTTTGGACAACACGGTTCTGGCTCAAGTCATTCCTCTGGCTATGGCCAACATGGATCTAGGTCAGGAAGACCATCTGGCTATGGTCAACATGAGACTGGCACAGGCCATTTCTCTGGATCTGGACAACATGAGTCAGGCTCAGGTCAGTCCTCTGGCTTTGGACAACACGGTTCTGGCTCAAGTCATTCCTCTGGCTATGGCCAACATGGATCTAGGTCAGGAAGACCATCTGGCTATGGTCAACATGAGACTGGCACAGGCCATTTCTCTGGATCTGGACAACATGAGTCAGGCTCAGGTCAGTCCTCTGGCTTTGGACAACACGGTTCTGGCTCAAGTCATTCCTCTGGCTATGGCCAACATGGATCTAGGTCAGGAAGACCATCTGGCTATGGTCAACATGAGACTGGCACAGGCCATTTCTCTGGATCTGGACAACATGAGTCAGGCTCAGGTCAGTCCTCTGGCTTTGGACAACACGGTTCTGGCTCAAGTCATTCCTCTGGCTATGGCCAACATGGATCTAGGTCAGGAAGACCATCTGGCTATGGTCAACATGAGACTGGCACAGGCCATTTCTCTGGATCTGGACAACATGAGTCAGGCTCAGGTCAGTCCTCTGGCTTTGGACAACACGGTTCTGGCTCAAGTCATTCCTCTGGCTATGGCCAACATGGATCTAGGTCAGGAAGACCATCTGGCTATGGTCAACATGAGACTGGCACAGGCCATTTCTCTGGATCTGGACAACATGAGTCAGGCTCAGGTCAGTCCTCTGGCTTTGGACAACACGGTTCTGGCTCAAGTCATTCCTCTGGCTATGGCCAACATGGATCTAGGTCAGGAAGACCATCTGGCTATGGTCAACATGAGACTGGCACAGGCCATTTCTCTGGATCTGGACAACATGAGTCAGGCTCAGGTCAGTCCTCTGGCTTTGGACAGCATGGGGCTAGTTCAAGTCAGTCTTCTGGTTATGGTCAACATGGGTCAGGATCGGGTCAGTCTTCTGGGTTTGGACAACATGGGTCTAGCTCAGGTCAGTCCTCTGGCTTTGGACAACATGGATCTAGCTCAAGAGGACCATCTGGCTATGGCCAACATGAGTCTGGCACAGGCCATTCCTCTGGATTTGGACAACATGAATCAGGCTCAGGTCAGTCCTCAGGCTTTGGACAGCATGGAGCTAGCTCAAATCATTCTGCTGGTTACGGTCAACATGAGTCAGGATCGGGTCAGTCTTCTGGATTTGGACAACATGGATCTAGTTCAGGTCGGTCCTCTGGCTTTGGACAACATGGTTCTGGCTCAAGTCATTCCTCTGGCTATGGCCAACATGGATCTAGCTCAAGAGGACCATCTGGCTATGGCCAACATGAGACTGGCACAGGCCATCCCTCTGGATCTGGACAACATAAATCAGGTTCATGTCATTCCTCTGAGTTTGGACAGCATGGGGCTAGTTCAAGTCAATCTACTGGTTATGGTCAACATAGGTCAGGATCGTGTCAGTCTTCTGGATTTGGACAGCATGAGTCCAGTTCAGGTCAGTCTTCTGGCTTTGAACAATGTGGTTCTGGCTCAAGTCACTCCTCTGGTTATGGCCAACATGCATCTAGCTCAGAAGAACGATCTGGCAATAGACAACATGAGAATGGCACAGGCCATTTCTCTGGATCTGGACAACATGAATCAAGCTCGGGTCAATCCTCTGGCTTTGGACAGTATGGAACTGGTTCAAGCCAACCCCATGGCTACGACCAACATGGATCAGAATCAGGTACGTCATCTGAATTTGGTCAGCATGAGGCAAACTCAGGTCAGTCTTTCGGCTTTGGACATCAGAAGTCAGGCTCAAGGCAATCCACTGGCTTTAGACATTACGGTTCAGGCTCAAGTCAGGCCTCTACCAATGGCCACAGTGAATCTGGCACAGGTCAATCACATGGTTTTCCACATGACTCAGGCTCAAGTAGGTTATCAGGCTGTAACCAGCATAGGTCAAACAGGGCACGGTCTGGTGAAACTGTAACAAGGGGTTCTACTCACAGCCAAACGAGTGATAATGAAGAGCATTCAGGAGCATCACACAGACACTCAGGAAACACTCATAGTCAGGCTGGATCTCAACATGCAGAGACAGGATACACGGAACAAGGTAGACAAGGAACTACACATAGGCAGTCAAGGGATAACACTAGACATGGCCAGTCCGGCCATGACCAACCAACATGGACAGGCTCGAGTACAACTGGAAGAAGGGGATCTAGTGACAGCCAGACCAGTGACAGCGAAGGGCACTCAGGAGTCTCACACGAACAGTCAGGACACATTCATAGTCAGGCTGGATCTCACCATGCAGAGACAGGATCCATTGAACAGGGGAGACAAGGTACTACTCATTGGCAGTCAAGAGATACCACTAGACATGGCCACTCTGGTCATGAACAACCCACATGGACAGGCTCGAGAACAACAGGAACAAGGGGATCTGGTCACAGCCAGACCAGTGACAGTGAAGAGCACTCAGGA